TCGGATTTGGAAAAGCGGAAGCATAACTGAATATTTTTCCTGAATTTTATACTAATTGAACTTGAAAAAGAAATTTAATTTGATTTTTTAAATAAACGATTTCACCAATTTACACGCGTTTTCCCTTGACCAAATTTTGACCGTATCACCCTTTAGAACATCGAAATCAATCTTGCTATAGTCTAACGCAAGATCATCACTCGCATTCAGCAGCAGTGCACCGTCATCAACTAGAGATGGTAAGCAGACGACTAGTGGCGGATGATGAAAATCAACTGGCAAGAGTGGTGAAACAGATCTCGAGATTTCCACAGGAAAGTCCGTATGGCAAAAGAACAAATCCAGGATGCGTCCTAAGTGGTTGCGCTCGAGATTTCTCTGATGCAGGTTGTGGAAATCCATGCCATCAATCAAGAATGAGCTAGCAACTGGTAAAGGAACAGAGTTCACAGGTCGAATCTCACCATCAGCCCAACTCCAGGATATCCCAGGTTGATTGTAGTCACCGCATACCAGCAAGCAATCGCTGTCAGAGCCACTGTTACAAAGCTCTTGGATCGATTTAATATGCCCATTCAAAACGCTGAGATCCTTGCTCTTGTCTGGAGGAACGTAAATTGCACACAGCAATAGTCGCTTGGATCCAATCCTCGTCGATACACACACTTGTTCTATCGTTTCTCCGCTCGTTGCAACGACACTGCTACTGATGAAACGATGATGTACGGCAATTAGAACCCCTCCGAAACGAGATTTGCTGCTGTTTATATGGCTTCGGTCACATCGGTACACATTGTAGTTGCTTCCGAAAAGCTGCGTCGAATTGATAGCCTCGTTAAGCCCCGTCTCGATTAAAATGATGACGTCAAAATTGCACTCCAGGACGTTGCAGTAAAAGTCGTCGATCTTGGTGCGCAGTCCACGTACGTTTTGGTAATAAACCCATAAACGACTAACGTCACGGGTCGTGTTCTGCAACATGGAAATATTTGGCGCGGGACTATTTGGTGAATGGTACAGATACTCACAGAATGTCGCAAAGAATGATTATTGATAATGGTGCTAACCCTAGGGTTTCCACCGTCCACATGATAGAGCCTTAAGTATTTGTCAGTGGATTGCCGTTGGATCCAGACTGGTTTTTTGAGTAGTCGGTGAATTCACGGAATAATATCCCATCAGGCTACGTAGAAGCGTCGAGAGCTAGTTCTTTCAGCGATGGGTCCAAGCCAACTTTGAAGGAATTGAAAGTCAGCTTCGTCATATCCACTTCCTTGGGAACGAGACGCACGACGTCAGCAGGTGTTGTTAGATCCAAGCAGCGAGAAGTAATTTTTTGAATGTCCTCAGCAGTTATTAACGGGTGTTATCCGGACAGGTAGAGCCAGAACTTTGGAGGGGAGATCGGTGGTGTTAGACACGGTACAGACAAGTCACTGAGATCAATTGCATTGGTCCCACGCACAGAAGAAGTGCCAATCGATCCACCTTCATTACCACGACGACGTTAAACACCAAGTCTGGGCCAGGCATTTCCCTTCCTTGATCGATTCGATGGTCGCTCAGCAGGAATATCCATGGAAATGCACTTGTCAACTTTATCACTCAGCGATTCCACCAAGTTGAACAGTTGTTGAACCTGAGCCGGTTCAGTAAAATACTGTTTCACACTTCTGCCATTCATTTTACGAAGTCGAGTATTAGTACAAGACACTGAAGAAGTCTGCACATTGTAGACGAAATACGCGTATCTGTCAAGGATAAGCAAATAAAGTAGTGGAATTAAATGGAAAATACTAATCCTTCTCTCTCTCATTATAATATACGATACGCTAGAAACGATCGCCTCACTTCCACCAGATCACTATTTTATTTTTACGGATAGTCTCAGTTCTGTCGAGGCTATTCGCTCCATGAGGCCGGTAAAGCACTCCTCGTATTTTTTCATGAAAATACGAGAGCTTTTAAGTGCTTTATCTTTAAGATCTTTTGTCATCACCTTTGCATGGGTCCCATCTCATTGCTCGATTCCGGGCAATGAGATGGCTGACTCACTTGCTAAGGTGGGCGCTATGGAAGGCGATATTTACGATCGACAAATCGCCTACGATGAATTTTTCTTCATTTATCGTCAACAGTCGCTTGTCAGCTGGCAGAATAAATGGAGCGAAGGAAGTTTGGGACGATGGCTATATTCGATCATCCCTAAGGTGTCGAAGAGTCCTTGGTTCAAGGCGTTGGATGTGGGTCAAGACTTCATTCGTATGATGTCTCGCCTCATGTCCAATCACTATTCGTTAAACGCTCACTTGTTCCATTTTGGGCTGGGGGACAGCAATCTCTGTGAATGTGAACAAGGTTACCAGGACGCTGATCACATCCTTTGGTCTTGTGCGGAGTATCGTGGAGTCAGATCACATTTTTATGATTCCCTTCGCGCTCGAGGTAGAAAACCTAATGTTCCAGTTCGAGATATTTTGGGTAGACGCGATCTGTAGTTTATGAAACTTATACATGTTTTCTTTAAGAATATTAACCTTAGATTGTAAGTTTGACTAACCTTGAGTTTAGTTTTTGTTTTGTTCGTGTGGGTTTTTTTTTAAATGTTTGTTTCTGTAATAATTGTATAATGACACTGTGGATACCAAATTGAATAGGAATAAGTTCATGTTTTAGGAATAATCAAATATTTGTATCGTAAATCATAACTCAAACCTCCTCCTCCCTCTCCCCATCCATAAAACTGTAAATCTCTACTAACCTCGAGATGACCGCGAGTAATCGGTTCAGTTCCTTTAAATCTAGATTTAAGACATCAATTATGTATAACGCAAATGATAACTTGGCTTTGTAAAGTTTATTCAATTGAGCCTGTACAAATAAATTAATTAATAAAAAATAAAAAATAAAACAAATCAACAATTTTCGATTTTTGGTAGCAGCATTGAATTGAGTTTGGCATCTTTCTTCTATGCTCAAGATTGCTTGGAGTAAAAATCACGGATCATTATGACCACATAAAGGTCTCCCCTATTGTGATAACCACTTCCAATTGCCATGCTCTTCGCACGGAACTTTTGAATTTTGTTAAATTAACGTTGTCACTTCAAGCTGGTCGTTGGGGTAAATGCCGTGTATTGGCTGAAATCTTGGACGGATTCAAACGTCTTCTCAAGTACCTTACTGACAAATACTAAGATGACAAGCAGCCTTATTTTTTTTTACTTACAACACCAACACTGAACGTCTGTTCAAGGTTGTCCTGAAAGGTCTGCCGAGTGGTGAATCCGTGGATCAAATCAAAGATAAATTGACAAAATTTCTTGGAGTTTAACCAATCCAAGTAATCAAAATGAAAGTGAAATCCCGTCCTGGCGATTCGCGCAACGGCATTTCTGATGATTTTTATTTAGTTCACATCAAGTCTAGTGAACAACTGAACAAGTGAACGTCTAAGAAACAACTAATGCTCCATGTCTTAGTGAAATGGGAACACTTCAGGAAGATGGGGAGTCATCTTTGCTAATGATTGTATGCAATTAAGAAAAAATCACGGCACTCTAGGTCTACTTTCAGGAATTGATTATTTTGCCGGTGTATCGGGATATTCAAAGGCCCGTTTTCTGGCTACCGGTTAGCAGAATCGAAATGTTGATGGCATATTTTCTCCATGCTCATGATTGCATGCAATTTAGTAAAAAAAAATCGCGAATGAAACCGCATTGTCGCAGAGGCACCTCTCACGCTCCGACTGGCCAACCACAAGTAGTTCCCTGTATATTTCGTTCGAAAGTAGATAGTCATACCTTTGAAGTAGTGACTCAATCTTTAAATTTGGTATCGAAATTGACGAGAACCAGTCTTGTCAACATGAATTGACACGCATTTCCCTCGGGACTCTTCTGGGGGTTTCCGTTCCGGCTGGCCAACCATAGGTCACTTGTTCCAAATAAAAGTAGATAGCCATACCTTTTGAATGGTGGCTGAATCATAACTATTGTCAACATGCATCGGCACGCTGTTCGTAGCCTTGGGGTTTGTCAGTTAAAAAACCCAATCCAATCTTCTGATCATTCAGTCGGATTCGCAGTCGGTATGATTTCACCGACTCCGACTCCTCAGATCATAAAATTCCTTCCACAGCCCTGCTCGCAACTTGTACATTATTTGACACTTTACAGTCTGCACTTTTCGAGCACAGAATTGATTTGTTTTCCGTCAGCTTTCTGCGTGTAACTTACTGTTGAAGCAATTAGATATGTTTGCATCTTTCAAAGCACTGCAGCAGCTCATCCCTCAATCCCTGCTGCTCTCTGTCTCTCTCTCTTTTGCAAAATCATGTTATTAAATTACAATTTCTGTCCAACTAAAACGAAACGCAACGATCAACAACAGCAACATCAACAGCACAACTCCTCCAAGAGCCTCTTGAAATGAATGAAAAACTGTTTGTAATTTGTTATAAACAAAATCATTTTTCCTGCCTGGATTGCTGCTAGCGAAGCAGCGGTTCCTCAGCACCGTGCGGTAACCTCGTCGCTGCGCCGCCAAAAGGAAACCAAACACGGAGCACTGGCGATGTGATGCAATCCTCCGTCGACCGTTTTCCTCCGGGTCATGAGGCGGATCCCTTGGATGAATTCCTCCGCCGTCGTGCTTAGGCGAAAGTGCGCACGCGTCCCTCCAACCCTCCCACGTGGAAACCGGATAGCAGGCCATCTCAGGTTCCGTGGTGCTTCCGTCCCGCTTGCTCCAGAGCGCGGGGTGGGAGGGGTGGTTGCACTCGCTTTGGTTGGTGCACCGTTCATGTGCTTGCGCTTGGAGGTTCATTCACCAACACACCGAAGCAAGCCTACATCCAGGCGCAGTTGTAACACGTCGTCGTCGTCCCTTCGAGCCCGGCCTGGTATGGGTGCTCGCTCGCACTGCACTGTAGAGGTAGCCGTGCTTCACCGGTGCGGAGGAAATTCCGTCGTCAGTACGTTGTAAACTCGGTGAAGGTAAAGATGAGTTTTCACCGTGGTCCCGCCGTTGGTGATTCGCTCTGAATGAAGAGGGAGTGCTACAACTTGTGTGTGAGAAGAAAGTTTCCAACAAAGTTTTCAGCGGCAAAGTTTCCTTCGAGAAGTGAACAACTTTTGGCTTTGGGTGGTGAAACTGCAACCGAAAAGTTTTCAAAAACTCCTAAAACTTTTGCCCGGTTCCGCGAGTAAAAGTTTGACGAACACACAGTTTTGAGAAAAGTTTGCGCGAGTGAAGGCGGCAGGGAGGCAAAAAAGACAATTATTTTTGGCTGCCCGCCATCGAGGACGACGACGAAGGGTGGCGGTAATCTTGCGAGAAGTTGTTTGTGGGTAATAATCAAGGGAACGAAAAGTTTCCTGCACACTACTGCCCCCCTTCGGTGCGAAGGAACCGGTGAGACGCCCATCGAAGGCGCGGGAAAAAGTTTTTCCCGTCAATTTGCAAGTGGAAAATCATCGGGTGCAGCAGCGAGTCAAGGACGCGGACGCGTGGCGGACAAGTTGAAGTAATTAATTTAAAACAAATCAGCAAGCAAGTTCCCCCCGGGCGGGGTGAGAGTGCGTTGTGTGGTGCCGATTGTTGTAACAATATCATGATCGGAGGTGTTTGAGGGAAAACTTTCTTGTCGGAGAAGAGTTGTGATCAAGGGGCTACTGTGGCACGCTCGAGGTAGGAAAGGTGAAACGGTTCGGCTGGGCTTGGTGGCTGCCAAATGTACCATAGAAACGAAATGTTCGAAAGAGTGACAGCAGAAGTGAGTAATTGAGGTGAAGATAGTGGATACGTGAAAGAAAACAGTTTGAGAACCAAAGGTAAGTTTGATTTGGGGGAATTTCTAATTATTTGAATCAACATTTTTCCACAATCGATTAACGTGACAGTTTTGAAAATTTAAAAAAAAAACATCTGAAACGAAAACAGCAAGAATATTTGAAGGGCTAGTTTGGTAAAATTAAAAGCTGCCGCTTGTTTCAAGAATGCTTAAAAAAAAATCAAGATTTTTCGTAGAAAGAAAGAGACAAGGATTATTAATTTCCTTTTAATTCCACTACCTACTTGCCTTGGCAAGTAAATAAGGTAGTGCAATTGAATGGAAACTTCTAATCTTTCTCTCTTTATACATTATTTTGGCAGCCCTTTTTTTTGAAAATATTTTCAAGTGTTCTACGAACCCTAGGCGCTTTTTCAGTGGTCTTATTGCACCAAAGTATAACTTAAACATCCATCTTAAAGAGGAATGAGAAAGCTTTGGAATCACGATTATGTGAAATTATTGAAAAATAAAAGTCTGAAGGGCGGAAGGGCTCACAAAATCGGGTCAATATTGTATAGGTATTCCACTAAGAAGCCCACATTCATGGGGAAACATTTTTCCGTAATTTCCCCTACAAAATAAATCGGCGTAACTTTTTTTTTACTAGCGACAACTGTTGCGAATATCAACCATGCTGTTAATTATTGTCCACTGAACAGGCATATATGCCTTGAAGCATTATGAATTCAAATTTCAATTATTATTCTGCTTCAAAGATGTTGTCAGCTGTCAACTGTTTTTTGAAGTACTTCCACAGTTGTAAATTCAAAGCGTGCTCTGCGTACCAAAGCTTGAATTTGTATATAGTACATAATATAATGTGCTCAGGGAAGTCGAGGAAATTTCAAACCCGGCAGATTTTCGAGATTGGACTGGGAATCAAACTCACCTCCGGCTTGGCACTACCGAGCTTAAACTGACTAGGCTGTCTGAAACCCTTCGTTTAAGCCCATCTAAAATGATTTATTGATGTTCCTTAATTGCTTCTTAGCACACGTAAAGTACCAGGACGCAATTTTTTTTTTCAAAATGCTCGTTCTCAGCAATGTCATAACCGATTTTCATAAATTGGATTTTTATTGAAGGGGAATAGTGGATCTAATTTTTGACGTAGATAACGCGTAGATTTGCTGAACACTTCAAGAATGTCTTCTCAAATACGCCTGCTACGTCATTGCAGATAGAGGCTGCTGTTCGTGATACGCCGCTAGACAGCATCGACTTTGGAATTTTCCAGATCAGCGAGGAGCATGTCGAAAATGCATTACGTAAGCTCAAACATTCCGTGTCACCCGGTCCTGATGGGATTCCTTCCTCTGTGTTGTAAAACTGCTCGAGTTCTCTGATGACACCGTTAGTAAAACTGTTCAAACTACATTTCATGTGCCCAGCATGGATTCTACCCGAAACGATCTGTTACTACTAACCTCACTCAGTTCACCTCACGGACTTCAAGGCTCCATTCGATCGTGTGAATCATGATATCCTGTTGCAAAAACTCGAGAAGCTGGGGGTATCTTCCGCGCTTGTTAGCTGTTTTAGATCATATCTGTCTGAAAGATCCGTGAGAGTAAGGATTGGTTCGTCACATTCGGAGCCGTTTATGATTCCTTCTGGTGTACCGCAAGGGAGTAATCTTGGACCGCTGCTTTTCTCATTATTCATAAATGACATTGCCTTTGTGTTGCCACGTAGACAGCGAATATTCTATAATGACGATGTTAAGATCTTTATGATCATCACGTGCACTGAGGATTGCCTGGAGTTGCAGAGGATATTAGATTTGTTCGAGGACTGGAGCAAGCGAAACCTACTCGATTTATGCATAGCCAAATGCAACACAATATCATTCAGCAGGAAGCGGCAACCAATCAATTTCAACTACAGCATGTGTGGACAAACTCTCGAGCGCTTGTATCAGGTTAGGGATCTCGGTGTGATATTGGACCGCAAACTCACTTTTCGACCGCATTACGAAGACGTGATTGGGGCATGTTTAAGCTTGCTGATGGATTTCGTGATCCTCTCTGCCTGAAGTCCCTTTTCTGTGCACTGGTTCGATCTATTTTGGAATCTTCCGTGCTGGTATGGTGCCCGTACAACAGAAACTGGATTGACCGTATCGAGGCGGTGCAGAAAAAGTTTGTGCGCCTCGCTCTTCGCCACTTACCCTGGCGTGATTAGTTAAATCTTCCTCCATATGAACATTGTTGTTTGCTGTTAGGCATCGATACTCTGGAGAAGCGAAGATCCAATTTGCAAGCCATATTCGTCGCTAAGGTAATGACCAATGAAATCGATGCCCCAGATATTCTTGCTGAATTGCACGTATATGCGCCGCAAAGACGTAATTTCCTGCATCTTGCTACCCGGAACAGCCGTTATGGTCAACACGATCCTATCAGGATAATGTCTTCTCGGTTTGACGATGTTAGTGGACAATTTGACTTCAATGTTTCTGCTGCCACTTTTCAACGCCGCCTCAATGCACAGCGGTGAGTATCTGTCCAATCACTGCTAGGTCCTAGGATCTAGTTCTATAGGCCATCGTAATATGCGGGGCAAAATAGTCCTGCTGCATGTCAAATCATGTCAAACTAACAAGGTAAGATCATTGAAATCAGTTTATCGTGCATCCGATGTCAAATGGCCATATTCGAATCTGTTCCTGGGGTTCCGGAATCTGTTCCTTTAGGCCATAGTACAATTTAAAGAAAAATAACAATGCAGCAAGTCAAATCATGCAAGTACGAATGCGGTATGGAAAATTCATGGACCTCACTTATTATACTGCTATGATTTGGCCTGCAGCATAATTCCTTTGCCTTGAATACGATGGCCTATAGCACTGGATCCTGGGACCCCCAGAGCCGATGTCAACGTGGCCAGATGTCATCGGATATACCATAAACTGATTTCAGTCATAAACTTTCTATTGAATCTTTCGCTATAAAGATTCCTATCGTACATATTTAAGGGTTTATGAGATTCTAATCGAATAAGTCTTAACATTAATTTGGTATGCCATCAAAACGTTTAATTTTCTTCCCTTAGGTCTCTTTGTAGTCAATTTTTTACAACTATAAGTCAGTATTTGGTCACTTATTTCTTCAACATGGTCTCTAAAATCACTTTTTTGACAGCATTGATTGCTACCAGCCCTGTTAATGTTACATTAAGTTCTAACAAAAAAAAATTAAAAAATCCATTCTAGAATGCTATTTTTTATGACAAAATTCCTCTAGACCAGAAACTAGTTCAAACATGTTATCAAGTTAGAGACTTAGGTGTTGTTCTCGAATCTAAGTAGTAATTTGCTGATCACTACAACAGCATTATCTATAAAGCAAATAACATGTTCGGGTTTATCAAACGGTTTAGCGCCTGTGGTAAAATGCATAACGGAAAATTGTAAATGTTTGAAAAATCATTAATCAACCTATTGATACCGAATAAATCTGTCAGTTTCAATTGACGGCAATAGATTTGAAATTTGTGAATAAATAGCTGAGCTATGACTTTCAATCACTGCAAGTTTGCCGTTACACAGTTTACCAAAGGCATCGTGTTCGGAGTGTTAATGATCCTTACACAATCAGAGCACTGTACGTAGCATATGTGAGGTCTCTTCTTGAGTACTGTAGGGCTCCATATCATTATCAGGGCGTCACAATATCAGCTTCAATCGACCAAATCGATGCGACGAAGAGACTGCTGGATTTTTTTTTTCTGTTAAAGTCGAACAGCTTCGCAGCATTCTAGAACCTCAGTCGGCGTGCACAAACAAATGTGCAATCGCTTGTCTCTCTTTCTCCCGTCGCTCCATTGGTCTTCCTTTCAAGCTTCGGTGAACCGGATGAGTGAAAGAGCGCTCGACTTTGATAGTTTTCTCTTTCATGAAACACATCAACAGAGGTTTCATGACGTATATGACGGAAAATGAAAACACATATTTAAAGCATTTCTCACGTGAAAACACTTGAAGATTACACGTAATATGTTTAATTTATCTTCCATCCACATATTTATCTAAAAAAACTAACGAAAACGGAACATAACGCATTTGAAACAAATTGAAAGAGCGGTGATAGAGTGTTCGTGAAAGGGGATTGAAAGACATAATGAGGTTTCGTTTAACTAGAAAATCGACGTTACTTACATTGAAAGAGATGGGCATAGCAATGACGAGAAGATCCACAGCCAGCGTTTCCTTCTAAGCGTGCTTCTTTTTCATTGTCATTTCTTGCTGATAGTCTAGCTAGGCGTTATAGAAACAGGTTTGTAAGAGAGAAACAAAACACGAGTTCATTTTAGAGCTTCGAAATTGTAGAGCCCTGATCATTATACACATCTATACCGTATTGAGTCTGTTGAAAAGCAGTTCTTGTTGTTTGCTCTAAGAAAGTTTGGTTGGACGAGTTTTCCGTTCCCATCTTATGAGTATGTCAATATGTCAATAAATTTAGATGAGCTAAAAAGCGAGGGGACATCGTCAAGTCGACGATGATAGGAGCACATACCGTGGTAGAGGTAACAATAGCAGCAATTTCCAAACCTACGACTGGATGCCTTTTCTTCAGATAACAACTGGAGTGCGGTAAAAATCGACAGACACATCGTCGGTACATGAGCGAGTCGGCGATCATCTCTTTTTGCCAGTGGTGGTGGAGGGGGAATACCCCTCACCATCCATCTCCAACGAGGGAGTTTGGTAAAGAGAGATGATCAAACCGATTTGTAACTTCCTAAAGTTGTCCTTGCTCGCTTTCTACTCTCTATATACAATTTTCACACTGCCGTACTCTCCGCATCTATCGTATAAAAATTAACACTTTAGTCTGTTATTTGAAACTAGCATCTTCAACTATGACGAAAGTTTGCAATGAAAGCATTCATAAACGATGATATTTCGCAATCAATAAACAGTCCGGAGGTTGAGAAAAATTTGAATTTTTATGCTGGCACACGCTCACTTAAGGACTAGAAACTTATTTTATG